GAAGACCCTATATTCATTGTGGGGTCATTTAAGCCCGTTCAAATAAGTAGTGCAAGCGTTACAGTTCTAACAGCTTTCACTTTTCAACCACACAGCAGGATGACTTTCAGATCCCTGAAAGAGAGTTCACAGGCATATTCGTGCTTCTGAAGCAGCTGAGGCCTTCAGCGCCTAGGCTTGGGGGCTTCCTGTGGACCCTCTTGAAGGCGCAGGGCGCCTCTTGCAACGACCGGGCTCAAAGATTCCATCGGCCAGGTCTTTCCTTCGAGGGTCCTCGGCCGAGGTCTACAAGGGTTTAGGGTTTAGGGATGTTTAGGGTTTAGAGCTTAGGAAACTCTAGCGTCCCTGAGGGTATCCGTACCTGAGGAGGCATTCCTTCATGGGAAAGCTTCCTGATTCTCTTGGCTTGAGTCAACGCCAGTGCTGTCTGACCCTGCTGCTCTCCTTCAATTCATTCCCCAGGTCACAAAACCCACGCCTTGAACCCTGAGACCTTGACCGCCCTCCTCACCCCAACAAAAAATAATAATTATACTACTATACATATATATATATATATCTATATCCTGGAGCATCCACCCACCACCCAACCCTTGTCCAACCCCCACCCTAAACCCTAAACCCGAAACCCTAAACCCTAAACCCTAAACCCTAAACCCGAAACCCTAAACCCTAAACCCCACACTAAAAGGTGCCGGGATGTGCCGGGCGTCTCCACCCCAGTGGGTGTTCACATCGTCACGGGTAACGCACTCCCAGCCTTGCAGAGGGTTTAGGGTTTAGGGTTTAGGGTCTAGGGTCTAGGGTCTAGGGTTTAGGGTTTAGGGTTTAGGGTTTGGGGTTTGGGGTTTGGGGTTTAGGGTTTAGGGTTTTGGTGATTCGCCCTCTCTTGAACCAGCCGTTGAGGGTGGTTTAAGGGCTGACTTGAACCGGCACAAGCCATGTCCGCCAGCTGCCACGCAGCACGAAAATCAGGTTACTGCAAAGCAGGCTTTAGGGTTTAGGGTTTAGAGTTTCGTGCTCTTACCCGAATTGTTCCCCCTTCCCACCCTCTTGCCAATCGTGTGAGGCTTTGAGCAAGCTGCTCAATTTGCTAATATCTGAAAGATAAGAATATATACATTAATAAAAGAAGAATATAAGAAGATACGAATATAATCACGTAACAATAGATTATAGAATAGTAGAATCATATAATGAAATAAGAATATAGGTTGCCAAAGAGTTGGCAACGACTCGCAACTCAGCGACTAAGTCATGAACCACTTCATGTGCTCCGCTGGCGTATAGGTCCCTCCCGAATAGAAGCTCCCGTGGGCGCATGAGCCCCCATCACTCTACCCGTCCTCTTGGCCAATCGTATGACTAAAAGCCTCCATCGGGTCTCCTTGTGGCCGGTTCCCAGAGCAGAAGACCCAGCAGGGAACCCCAAGGACCCTGCTGAGAATCTTACAGGACTGTAAGCCATGGGGCCCTAAACCCTAAACACCCAAAACCCCAAACTCCTAACCGTGTCACACGGAGCATTTCTGGAGTCCCCACTCGGCACAACCCCCGGCATAAAACATAACACGAAAGTCTTTCAAAGAGGGGTTTTTGCGTGTCTATCCATTTCACCTCATATTCAGGGCTTAGGGTTGAGGGTGTAGGGTGTATTTAGATAAAGTTTGTTTTGTTGTTGTCTTCGTTATCAAACTTATGTACCTTTCACCATGTGTCATTGTCGAACTTAGTTTAGGTGATTTCGTTTCATGTGCATAGTCAGTCTAGTTTTGTGCAAAAACATGCATTTTCTTGTGCGAGCATACTATGAAGAGGGACACCTCAGCATGTTACATTTGAGTAGCTTAAGATAGCTTGCGCAAGTACGGTAGAAACATAGTGAGACGTGTTAAGACCTTTTTCATGGTTCTGTAAGAGGAACGGTGCATAAAACAATCTATTTGGCATATGCTACCTTCTTGCCAATGCAAAACAAGCATTCTAACCCCTTCCACTTATGCATGTACAGGCCACAAAATGAGTTGCGGAACGGAACTGCGCAGCAACAGTCAGAACTCACGACAGCACGTCATCTTGCAAAAGGGTGTACACAGCAGCGCTATTTTTCTGCATGGCAAGAACCAAATCCGTATATGGTCAGTTCTCTAAATGATGGTCCCCGTTGTGGGTACCCTAAATATTCGAGGGGCGCCCTAAGAATCGCAACCCCCCAAAGGGGACCCTATAATTCACAGAACCCACCATACACCCACCCTAAACCCTAAACCCTAAACCCTAGACCCTAAACCCTAAACCCTCAGCTGACCCGCTCTTGGCACCCCAGGCTGACACCCTCACACCTTCGTTTCATTCCTCCTTGCCTCCTTGCTGTTAGCTTTTGTTTTCTTCTTTGATTATATGCTGAGAATGTTAGCAATAATGTGTATTGGTATACGAGTATATTATAGTATATTGTTCTACTTTTAACATCTTGAGAACATCGTACTAGTAAATTACACTATTCTGTTGGTACATTCCTGCTTCACTATCCTCAGTATGAATATATACGCTTACCCCATGAGATCCTTGTATCATTCCGGTACCACCATGTGCCCGGCCTCTCGGAGTCGGGTACCACACGCTCGAGATCCCAGACGCGTTGCGGGCGGTTGCGAAGCCGCGGCCCAGAACCTGAGGGGCCAGCGACTTGGTGTACTCAAGTGTCATAAGAGTAGAGCAGCTGGTATACTGAATGCCCTGATATGTTTAATATACACGTGTAGGGATGTACGAATATACTAAGACACTCATACACTGATGGACAAATAGACTAATAGACCAATAGACTAATAGACTAATAGACTAATAGACTAATAGACTAATAGGCGAATATACGAACATACGAGTGTACTTATATACTAATGTACTAATGCACTAGTATACCAATGTCTAATGTACAAATATACTAAAAAAAACGAATATACTCATACACGAATTCACTGAGATACTGTTCTGTTCATATGCTAGTATACTCATATAGTTGTATATATACTTGTTTATTTATTTATACATATGAAGATGAATATTATATAACTTTTGTCATGATTTACAATATCCGAAAATTCTCTGATGTAATCATAAATATAGGGTCAAAGGCTTTAAGACTTTACGTTTTGCATGGGTTGAGGGGTTGAGATCAGCCCGGAAATCGATGAATCTTCCGAGGGCCTCGCCTCCGCACAGTACTCGCAGACAATGCTGCGACAGTTATGCCTGAGACTCCATGCTCAGCAACTCGAAATCAAAAAACACGACCCAACTTCAAGATCCTAGAACGCTGACCTCAAACCCTCAACCCAAAACCCGGAAAGGGTTTCTGAACATGGGGATGCCGCGTTGCACGTTGATCAAGCCACAGTCGTCCTCCCCCCCGAAGGTGTCGCGGCCGGCCAGTCGTGCCCTCTTGCGGGCCTGCTCCTCCTCGGCAATCCTGGCATTGCGAGTTTGTGAGAGGACGCCTACTTGTACTTCCCGCATGTCAGTAGAGAACTCCACAATGCCGGGGAGCTCTCGATCTTCCTCGCGCAGAACAACTTTGGGTCGTTTCGTCGAAGATACCCTGAGCGGCGGTCGAGGGTCAGGGAGTTGGACGGGAGCCTAGTATCTTAATAGTATAATGGCAGAATAGTATATTACTGTCGTGATAAAGTACTATACTGATAAGGTCAAGCGCTTAGGCTCTCAATCCCTGCTCTGGAGACAAAACCAAGTTCCGCAGGAGCCAAGGGCGGTGCCAGGGTTAGAAGCTTTGGGCTTCAGGGTTTCCTCGCTAATCCTACACGGGTTTGGCAAGGGATCACTCTTAGAAACCCCCAAGAAGCCTGCAAGTCCGATGTGAAGATGCCGAATTCCAAACTCTGTGGGTTGAGGAAGCCCGAAAACGCACAAGCAAACCGTGGCACAATGCAGGCTGCGAATGAAGCTGGGCAGCATGCTTTCGGCGGCGGTCTGGGTCGTCTCAGGCTCAGCCTTGAAGCAGTAGACCTTCGTTCCAACTCATTCTGCTTGTAGGTAGCAGTACTACTTGGAGGTTCATGGGTAGTTAGAAGTAGGGTCATAAGTCCCCTCAATAGACCAAATAAGGTAGCTACATTACTCTTACCCGTACTTGTAATCCAAGTAAGTTTCGTTCGCGGCCCTTGAAGATTGCCGGGGGAATATCTGGAAACCTTGGGCGGCACACACCCGGAGCTCCAAAAAAGGGGCTGAAAGTATCGGGGTTTGCTTATCAGGTGTAGGCTTTCGACTCGTAGGGTCTGGGGTTTAAGGGTTTAGGGTTTAGGGTTTGGGGTTTAGGGTTTAGGGTTGAGGGTTTGGGGTTCCTGGTGCCTTTGCAATCTTGAGTTTCAGGGGGCATGAGGGGGTTTTGGGTCCAGAGCCAACCCTTTTTTTTGAAAGAAAACTCAAAGAAGCTGTACTGTTTAGAGGACGATCTACGACACACCTTAGCCAAGCGTTGCCAGGAGCTCTCACCTCCATGCAGGCGAATGACCAGCTTGCAATACCTACACTGCCAATCTTTCACCTGACCCCGAAAATCTAACTCATGCGAGGGATGAACGCCTAGGCCTACCCAATCCATGGTGGTTCGACAGCATGGGAGCAGCGCGAGCCCCCGGCCCCGCCGACTCCCGTGGACTTTCAGCCCACATAAGGTGCATCGCGAGAAGACCTAAACCCTAAACCCGCCTTGGCATCTGCCCCTTGCGCGAGGCCGACTCCCTGGATGACCGTGAGGGCCTGCCTTGCATAGCGTTTCAGATTTTAGGGTTTAGAGTTTAGAGTTTAGGGGTTCAGGGTTTAGGGTCTAAGGTTTATAGGGGTTTGGGGGTTTGTGGGGGTTTCGGGTTAAGGTTTAGGGGTTTGCGGGCTTGTGAAATTAAGAGGGGTTTAGGGCTTAGGGTGCTACACTCCAAGTAGGAGGATCGCCTACAACCGCCTCGAGCACCTTAAGCAATTTAATCGAAGGGTTCGGGATACGGAGCCATCGACAGCCCCAGCTGCTTTGTGCGAGACTCGTCAAGGTGAATTAGCAGCTGGCACTCCGGGAGGTCGTTGCAGTCTGTCGACACAAGGACCGCGTGGGCACCATTGCGGAACTGGTGCAGCACATCACGTCGGCGCTGGCTGGGCATGCGCCCGCGCCCGCTGACGGCCACCGCAGCTTGCTGGCACCCGGCCACGCACAAGTCCAGGGATACGATGTGCGCCAAAGCCTCTGCCATTGCCGACTCCTTGACCAGCACAAGGCAGCGCTTCGGCGGCATGCTCCGGTCGCTCGTGTCCGCCAGATCCTGAAGATGAATGCCCAGCCCTGGACATTTTATCAACAAGTGTATCTGCACACGTTCTCGGTCAACAACCTTCCTGTCTGCGGGGGGGAGTCCTGGGTCAACAGCTCAAGCAGCTTCTCAACTTTGGCAGACATCTTCGGCAAGGAGTTCCAGTCCAGATGCTGCCTTTCGGCCCAAGGAGCCATGTCTGACCTGAGCATGGCACATGGCTTCCTCGAAGCTGCAAAGACATCGTGCCGTGCGCGTGTCGGTAGAAGAGCTCCATAGAGCTCCCCTGCAGGATATGCAGGACGCAGCACTTGAGCAGGCAACCCTCGTACGATGCCCCCCCCTGCTTCCAGCGCTCCTTCTAGGAAGAAGTCACTCCGAGTCACGCTTCCGCTGCGAGCAGCTCTCGCAATGCTGGGAGGCATCGCGTCATCGCCTCTGCATCCGACCCTTAGCCATGCGGACCCTCATCCATCCCTGCGCACAAATGTGAGAGATGTGTTGCCGCATGCCTTGGGCAGAGTGCTCTAAAGCAACTGCAACCTTAAACCCTAAACCCCAAACCCCAAACCCCAAACCCTAAACCCTAAACCCTAAACCCCAAACCCCAAACCCTAAACCCTAATCAAGCCCCAGGAGCTCCTTCCTGGGTCTCGGGTGCGCTGCGTCAGCCGCAAGATGGTGCCCTCCAGCTGGGTGGGAACCCCGCGCGTCAGGGCGAACACGAAGGCATCCTTGGAGCTTAGGGTTTAGGGTTTAGGGTTTAGGGTTTAGGGTTTAGGGTTTAGGGTTCAGGGTTTAGGGTTTAGGGTTTAGGGTTTAGGGTTTAGGGTTTAGGGTTTAGGGTTTAGGGTTTAGGGTTGTCGCGCCGGAGAAGGTTGCCCTGTGTCGTCATGCCCTACCAGGCGTTGCAAAAAAAGCGTTTCGAAATAAACACACAATATACATGTATATATACATACGTATATCATAATAATAATGAGAATGATAATGACAATGAGAATGATAATGATCCTGATGATGATAATGATAATGATAATCAAAAGGATAATCATAATAACAACAATAACATCAAAAAAGGCTTCAGGGATCCCGTTGAAAACATGGATTCTTGGATTACTCATGGTTCTTCATGTTCGCTGCGCGTGGTGTCGACGCAGCGCGATGTCACGATGTCTGAAAGACAACGCCCTCGAAGCTCCCTGACATCCGCTGTGTGTGGATTCACAATCTGCACCCATCATCTTCATACTTTCTCGACCTTGTACTACAGGCTGCGCTTTCAAGACAGGACTCTTCCCATAATCGCAAACCAAGCAAGAAGCCACATCCATCTTCCACTTCCACCAAGAAGCAATCGGAAAGACAACAACGCCTCTAAGAAAACGGCATGGACCAGTTTGGGGGCGGAAACAACAACCCCAGTCACGCCCAGCAACCCGAAACCCTAAAACCCTAGACCTCGGGATGTTCCCCCTTATGCTAACAGTCCTTGACAGGGACTCGAGTACCCCTATTATAATCCCTGCTAAGGGACTGTTAGTAGCATCCCAACCTCAACGCCCCCCAAGAAACGGAAGAACTCTGCCCCGAGGTACCCTGCCGAGCTCATCGAAGACCTTGGGGAGGAGGCGGAGGACCCGCTTGATGTCCTTGATGTGGCCCACTTCGCCCAGCCTCTGGCGCTTGTTCAAGGGTTTGGGGCTTCGGGCTTTTTAGAGATCCACCCATCCCCCCCTCCCCCCCCCCCCAAAAAAAAAAAAAAAAACCTGCAACAACCAGGCAAGCAGTAGCCCACCAGCCTCTCAACGCGCTGCATCAGCCTCCTGAGGGCCGGGTCTTTGGGCAGAGTTCCAGATCCAAGAACAGCGAGGCTGTGCTAAAGCAGGCCCCAAGTCATTCCAAGCGTCACAACCCAGTCGCCCAGGGCTTCGCAGCATCTGCGGTGCTCTTCGCTCTCTGGCGGCACAGCCACCTGGCCAGGGTTTCTGAGAGAGCTTGAGTTGAGAGCGTTAGGGCTAGGGTTTAGGGTTAGGGTTTAGGGTTTAGGGTTTAGGGTTTAGGGTTCAGGGTTCAGGGTTTAGGGTTTAGGGTGTGTCAGGGGAGGGCGCGCGCTCGGGTGTGAAACACCCCGGGCCGCGCGCTCGCGTTGCCCGTCAACCCACCCCGGCCACCCAAACTATACTCTATTTGGGTTTAGGGTTTATGGAATTTACTTTCTTGTGCTCTGATGCTTGCTTTGATGTTTTTAAAGTTGCGCTGTTAGGGTTTAAGCTGGGGTTGGGGGTAGCCTCGGCCCTTTTCGGGCCTTCGGCGTGTCAGGGCCCGTAGAGGCCCTTATTTATTTGAAGGTCAGGGAAACCCTTTGTGTCTGCTTTTGGATTCCCCTTCTTTAAGGGCCTCAATTAAGCATCGATTTCACTACCAAAAAAACGCATTTTTCATTGCGGGTACGGGCATCCTGGGGTCCCCCTTCTTTTGGGGGCCTTTTGAAGCCTTTTGAAGTATTTTGGTGGCTCTTGGGGTCTCTCGGGGCCTTGTTCGGACCTTCGGCGTGTCAGGGGCCGTAGAGGCTTTATTCATTTAAAGGTCAGGGAACCTATTAATGAATTTTTCGCCAATGAGTCTTTCAATCGCTAGGGTTTAAGCTCGGGTTCGGGGTAGCCTCGGCCCTTTTCGGGCCTTCGGCAAGTTAGGGCCCGTAGAGGCCCTTATTTGCTTGAAGGCCTTCGTAGGGTTTTGCGGTGTTCGGGTTTAAGCTGGGGTTCGGGGTAGCCTCGGCCCTTTTCGGGCCTTCGGCACGTTAGGGCCCAGAGGCCCTTGTTTGCTTGAAGGCCGTCGTAGGGTTTTGCGGTGTCAGGGTTTAGGCTGGGGTTCGGGGTAGTTTCGGTGCTTTTCGGGCCTTCGGCACGTGGGCCCGTAGAGGTCCTTGCTGATTTAGGGGGAGCCATCGATTTCAATACTAAAAGGCCTAAAAACAATGTTTTCAATATTCTCATTGTTGGCACGGACAAATCTTGTGGTCCCCCTTCTTTTAGTGGGCCTTTTGAAGCTTTTGAAGGTTTTGGTGGCTCTTGGCGCCTCTTGGGGGCTTCCTAGCCCTGGTTGGGGGGGGCCCTTGGCAGGGTGTAGGCCCTTGGTCCGGCAAGGGCCTTGGCCAGGGGGCGTATTGTTGGGGGTCCTTGACTCAGGGGTCTTGGCCGGTCCTTGGCTCCCTTGGCTTGGGGGGCCCTTGGCCTGGGCCCTTGGCTGACAGGCCTGGGGGATTTTTGCTTTGGTTGGGCATTTTTGGCGGCTTGGCCCGCGGCCCCCCCTTGGCCCGGCCCTTGGCCCTTGGCCCGGGGGGGTCCTTGGCCCGGGGGGCCCTTGGCCCGGGGGGCCCTTCCCTTGGCCCGGGGCCGCTTGGCCCAGAGCCTTGGTCCGGGGGCCCTTGGCCTGGGGGCCCTTGGCCTGGGGGTCTTTGGCCCGGGGGGCCCTTGGCCCGGGGGGCCCTTGGCGCGGGGGGGGCCCTTGGCCCGGGGCCCGTAGAGGCCCTTATTTGCTTGGAGGCCTTCGTAGGGTTTTGCGGTGTTAGGGTTTAAGCTGGGGTTCAGGGTAGCATCGGCCCTTTTCGGGCCTTCGGCACGTTAGGGCCCGTAGAGGCCCTTATTTGCGGGGCCTAAAAACAATGTTTTCAATATTCTCATTGTGGGCACGGACAAATCTTGTGGTCCCCCTTCTTTTAGTGGGCCTTTTGAAGCTTTTGAAGCTTTTGGTGGCTCTTGGCGCCTCTTGGGGGCTTCCTAGGCCCTTAGCCGAGCCCTGGTTGGGGGGGCCCTTGGCAGGGTGTTAGGCCCTTGGTCAGGCAATTGGCCAAGGGCGTATTGTGGGGGGTCCTTGACTCAGGGGTCTTGGCCTGGGCCCTTGGCTGACAGGCGGCTTGGGGGACCCTTGTATTGGCGGGGACCTATTGGCCCGGCAGGCCCTTGGCCCGGGCACCCTTGGCGGCTTGGCCCGGGCCCCGGGGGCCCTTGGGGGGATCTTGGCCCGGGAGGCCCTTGGCCTGGGGGGCCCTTGGCCCGGGACGCCCTTGGCCTGGCCCGGGGGGCCCTTGGCCAGGGGCCTTGGCTGGGGGTTGGTTTGGGGGGTTCTTGGTCCGAGGGCCATTGGTCCGGGGGGCCCTTGGTGCGGGGGGCCCTGGTCCAGGAGTCCAGCTACCAGGGACCAGGGGGCCCCCAGGGGGGGGGGGCCGACAAACCCTGAACCCAAAACCCTGAACCGACCTCCAGAGGCAAAGGGTTACGATTTGGGGTTATACTTTAGCTACGCTAAAGGTGGTCTGGGTGCCGGCCATCCCTTAGCCGAGTACTGACGTTGTCGTAAAAAAGGCCGATGTCCGTTGGCCTGTCCAGGACAGACGGTGAGGCTTAACCCTCACCTTTCCGTTTCTCTTTTCGCTTGGGCGCTCGGGCTGTAAGGCCCTCGGCCGAGCGTTCGGGGTCTGTCGCTCGACGGAAGCGACCCCTCACTTAGGGTTTAGGGTTTAGGGTTTAGGGTTTAGGGTTTAGGGTTTAGGGTTTAGGGTTTAGGGTTTAGGGTTTAGGGTTTAGGGTTTAGGGTTTAGGGTTTAGGGCTTAGGGAGCGGCTGCTTACACATCTTTGACATGCGAGACACCTGCACGACGGCATCCCTCGCAGACGCACCCTCGTCCGGGAAGTCCGGGCTGCAGAGTTCGGCACGTAGCAGCTCCTGGAGCTGAAGCCTCAGCTCATCAGCCACACGCGAGGCCTTGTGGGCTTAGGGCCTTTAGGGTTTAAGGCCCTCGCCCAGAAAACAAAACACCCATAGACTCATGTACAGGGCTCACAGACTCCTAGACATCTCATAAACATCTCCAGGGAAAGGGACATGCCGGTCTGTAGCCTGGCCTCTCCCTGCTCAGAGTGCTCCTCGCAAGGTGCGGGGTTCAGGAGGTGAAGGCTCAAGAGCTTAAGTGAGAGAAGAT